GATAAGGCTACTTCCTTTCCTATTATGACCGAATTTGAAATCTCTTCAAATTCTCCACCATCTCCCTTCTTCCTCTTCCTAATTTAACTTGCTACTCAATAGGACTGAGCTTGCATCAGTAACCGTGACTTTATGTCGTGGATCAATCAATCAGCAAACATTTATTAAGAACTTACCATGTGCTGAGTCAAGTGCTGGAGATTCAAAGACAAAAATGAAACAGTCCATGCCTCAAGCAGGTTATATTCTCTTAGGATCGTTGGGAATACCTGGATCCAGGAAAAAAGATGGGGACTGGGTTCCTTAGAACAGAGTCAGAAAGACTCATATCCTTGTTTTTCCCCAGGGAAATCAACACCCTACTAAGCTAACAAACCAGTTGTGGGGAAAAAAAACCTTGTCCTCTTCTCCTATGCTGGGAAGCCAGGAATCTGGGTCCTTGAGAAGGTTGGGTAGTGACTCTGGCGTCTTCTACCTCCCAGAGTATGTAGCTGTCCGTTGGCAAATTCCTGAATGGCCTCAGTCCTGTCTATATCCGATGCTGCCACAGCCTCCCAGACAACTTTCCTGTTACCAATGACCCGGTGGCCCCCATGTTGGGACCAGGTACCAGCCTGCAGGAGGGGCTGGAGGTGAGGGACTCAGTCATCCAGATCCTCAGACCCCTTCCTGTTGGCTCTTACCCCTTCCTCCAGCCACAGCTCTCTAAGAATATGGGTGTCCAGTCTTCAGCTAAATTTGCCAATTCTCTTCTCCCAGAGAATATCTCACTCCCACCTAATGAGCATTTTTAATCTGTGATTCCAAAAGCAGAGGGGACACGGCCAGGTTGGCCAAGAGTTCATATGTAATCAGCCTTTAGACAATTTGTGAAGTGCCTATCTTTGCCCTGAGGATGACTTTTTAAAAACTGTATGATGATGAACCAGTTCACAAACTCGTTCAAGGGGCCTTAGCAATTTGTCATCAGTTTTGAGCTGGAGAAAGCTTTCCTGGTGTCCAGAGCTAGCCTAACTGATGGTTTGTTTCAGCAACTTGCAATAGGGGAGAAAGCTGATTTGGAGACCCTACAAGAGGCAGCATGCATGATACAGTGAAGAAAGGGTTAGCCTTGGAATTAAGAAGTCTAGAGTTCAGATCCTGTCCTCATACATATTAGCTGTGTGGCCCTTGTCCAGTCATTTATACCTTTGTGCCTTCAGGCAACTCTGTAGGATAAAAAGTTGTAAACTGGGGATCTGCATCCATGAAGGGATCTCCACACTTGCGAAGTCACAGCTCTGGCTTTCTGCATATACCTATTGACATAGCCTGGGGCTGGCCTTCTAAAAGTTCACCATAGACTTGTTGGTTTGTGGGAAATGTAGGAGAACTAGTCTCTAGTCCTGACTCTAATTAGATAGATGACTTCAGGCAAGTCCTATCCCATTCTGAACCTGTTTCCTCCTCCATAAAATGAGAATCATCCCAAAGGTCCCTTCTGGCTCTGCTGCTCCATGATATAAATCTATGACTAAGTTGACTTTAATAGTAGTAATAATAATCGTTGTTATTGTTCAGTCATGTCTGACTCTTTGTGACCCCATGAACCATGGGATTTTCTTGGCAAAGGTACTAAAGTGGTTTGCCATTTTCTTCTTCTGTGGATTAAGGAAAACAGAAGTTAACTGGCTTGCCCAGCTAGTTAAGTGTCTGAAGCTGGATTTGAACTCAGGTCTATCCTGACTCCAGGCCCAGCATTCTATCCACTAAGTCATCTAGATACTTCATGATAAAACAGCAAACATTTATACAGTATTTACTGTGGGCCAGGTGCTGCCTTATAATTGTTATCTCATTGATTATCTCATATCTTATAACTCTGGGAGGTAGATGCTATTATTTATCCCCATTTTACAGATGAGGAAACTGAGACAGATGGGTTATTAAGGTAGTAAGTGTCTAAATTCAGCTCGTCCTGACTCCAGGTCCACTGCACCTCTTTCCTTCAAGTCATACTTACCTTTCCTTCTGAGTCTCCTGGAATTGGACTTCATACAATCGGAAGGCCTATTCTTAGCCCTTCTCTTCCTTTTAGAAGGGTTCTCTGTACCTGGTGGATCATAGCCTTCTCTCAGGCTTTTCTCCTGGCCTCATAGATGGGAGAACCTAATTCGTGGCTACCCCAATGACTCTGCTACACCAGAGACCAGACAGCGGGCTGCTCCTGCCCCTTGCTGTCCAAGTGAGACAGGTCATGGAGGAGAAGAGATATGTCAGGTGATGGAGTGCGAGAAGATGATACATGTAAATGCATTAAATAAATATGTTATGATGATATCTACCACCGAAATCCTTTAGAGGCATGGATTTGATCTTGGAATTTCAAAGACTATGCAAGTGGAACATAAGTGGTATGTCTATCTTAGGCTAGCTAAGCTTGAATAGGCTTAATACCATCAGGTAACAATCTGGGGGAGAGAAGTGCACAGCAACTCTCAAAAAACTGCTTAAAGTTTCAACTCAAAAGCATATGGAAAAAATAAAGTTCTCAAAGATCTAAAAAAAAAAAAGCAGATTTCCCCAGTTGAGGTAAAAAAAAAAACTGCTTAAAGGCACTGAGAAGTTGAAGTCTGCATTGTAATGGGAATGCCCACATAGATAAAGTCACAGATCTCTTGAAAGATCAAAGTCCTTTTGGCATTCTTTGGCAAAGTCATTTGGCATTCTTTGCTACAAGGAGTGACTTTCCTGGGAAGATATCAGGGAGGATGCATTTGGAAGTGGATGTTTTATTGAAAAGTTATTTTTTAAATGTTTTTAAAAGGAAGACGATACTAATAACATTTTTTTGGTATTTTATGGAGCACTGAACTGGAAGCCAGAAGGCCTGAATCCTATCCCTGACTTTGCCACTAATCAGTTCTCCTCCGCTGGTCTCTACCCTCTGCTCCATGAAGGGGTTGGATTGAAGGATCTTTGAGATTCCTCTCATTTCTGAATATCATGTAGATTTATGACTCGGGAAATGTCTTTGTTGACCTCTTGTGATGATCAAAGGCTCAGAAAACATTTCTTCCATCTGTCTTTGACTCTCTGGCATCCCCCTTGCTCTTTAGCTCTGCCAGACTACAGGCCCCAACAACCCCATCTTCTTGCCAAGTGATTCAGAGGAGGACTGGCTTCTGGCCAAGACCTGGGTCTGAAATTCAGAGTTCCTCATCCATGAGATGGTCACTCACCTGCTCTGCACCCACTTTGTTTCTGAGGTTTTTGCCATAGCCACCGTGCGTCGGCTGCCCGTGTGCCATCCAGTCTCCAAGGTCAGGATTACAACAGATCCTTCCACTTTCCCTCAAAGCCCCAGCCATCAGAGTTCAAAGGATCATAAATTTAGAACTAGAAGGGACCCTGAAATCATCTAATCCAAATCCCTCATTTTACAGATGAGGAAACTGAGTCTCAGAGAGGTTAAGTGATTTGTCCAAGATCACCCAGATAGGGGCAGCTAGGTGGCACAGTGGATAGAGCACTGGCCTTGGATTCAGGAGGGCCTGAGTTCAAATCCAGCCTCAGACACATAATACTTACTAGCTGTGTGACCCTGGGCAAGTCACTTAACCCCATTGCCTATCCTAAAAACAACAACAAAAAAAACCAAAACAAAACCAGATCACCCGGATAGAAAGTGTTTAAGCCAAGATGTGAACCCTACTCCTCTGACTCCAAATCCAATATATCTTCTACCGAGTCACCTACCTGGGACCTGAGGTGGAAAGGCATCCCTACCATCTCTCAATTTTCCTTCCTCTAGCTACTCATCCCTTGTTTTCACACTACATTTCACATCAATACTATTGGATGCACAGACCTCTTTAAATCCGGGGGCCTCATGCATAAGGTCAGAGAAAGGGAATGGTAGGGACCGGGCAGGAAGGGAAGATGGGATCTTTGGAATCTGGGCCCAGGCTGTGGCAGCAGTGAAGAGACTGGAGACATAAGAAGGGGGAACAAATCAGGAGACTAAGAGTCTTTAAAGGTGACTAAAGATCCAGGATAAAGAATGGAGTGGGGTGGGGGAAGCTGGGGCAGGGTTCAAGGATGAGAGAAAATCTGGGATTTTAAGGAAAAGGGGATTGGTATGGCTAAGAATTGGAGGACTTCCTGGAGAGAAAGTTGGAAGTGGGGCTATCTGAAGCTGGAGATAAGGAAACTAAGAGTATTGTCAATTGGAGTACAGAATGCTAGTAGATCTAGAGACTGGAATAATATTTTCTGCCTCTTTCTTCAGAGAACTTTGTAGAAATCTCTCTCATAGCACCAATCAGCAGAACTATAACTAGGATGTCAGTACCCAGGGCAAGAGACAGAAATGGCACACTCAGATGTTCAGGCCTGAGGTGCGGTGGAGCAGGGAGAAATAGTCCCTAGAAGGCAGGGGTTGGGTTGGAAGGAGGGCACTCTTGTAAATCATCTGGTAGTTTACAATTTAATTCAGTACAACGTGCATTTTTTAAGTGCCTTTGTAGGCACTGGGGATTATTATCAGTATTATTTTCTCTGGATCTGTGATTTGCCAGAATCTCATGTGTCACACTCAGATATTGAAATCAGGTTTTCCTGGCTCCATAGCCAGCTCTTACCTCTCTAGCTACCTTTCAGGTATTGCGGATAGATACAGTGACAAAATGGAAACAGTCTCTGCCCTTAAGGAGCTTAAATTCTATTTGGCAGTTAACATTTATGCAGACAGGTATATACACAGTCATCTGAGGAAGTAGAGAAGACTAACAATTAATAGGATGATGAAAGAATTTTCAAAGGGAGCGGCACATGAACTGAACTTTGATATTAAATAGGTCTGTGCTGGTAAATTTTAACAACTGGCTCCCCCCCCCAAAAAAATCCACAAAACACATTTTAAAGTTTCATTTGTATTATTAACATTTTCTCCATCACTTTCTTAAGTCTAGACAATCAACAAAACAATAAATTAAGCCTTGATCTGTAGCATTCGCCGGTTTCCAAGGTATAAAGCTTACCAAACATTTAACAATCAGCTCTGGAATTTGGAAGTTTAATGAAGATGATGTTGGAACAGTCTGGGGGAATATGTGATGGAGGACCTGAAATAGGGTGGTGTTTGCAGGAGTGTAGAGGGGAAAAACATCTGAGAGATGTTAAAGAGATTATACAAGATTTGAGAACTGATTGTATTATGAGAAAGGGGAGGGCAAGGAAGAGCAGATGGAACTTTGGTGATTGGAAGGATGGCACTTGTCCTCAACAGAAAGGGAGTTTTGGAGGACGGTTGGGTTTGGGCGGGTGGGGGAGGGAAGATGTATATAGGAAAAGCCTGAAAAGCAGTGATTAGACAAGAAGGAAGAGGTGGCAGGAGGGTGATCGACAGCGTCAGAGGCTGCAAAGACAAAGGGAGACTGAGTGAGAAAAGGCCATCGGGATTTTGCAACTCCAAAACCCATATCGTCTTAGAGAAATCAGTTTCAGTTGAACGGTCATGTCAGAAGTTAGGTTACAAAGGTTCAAAGAACGAGCGAGAGGAAACAAGCAAAGACGTTGGCGACTCTTTCTAGGAATCTGTCAATGAGTGCCAGGAGAGAAACCTGGAGTTTGGGCGGTCCAAACCTCCTGTCCTTGCATCCCTATTCCGGCAGCCCTCTCTATTATTTGCCCCACCCATAGCAAAACCCAGTAAATCGCTGCCCATCACACAGCAGGTTCAAAGTAATATTTCCTTCATACATAGGAGTACAATCTCCCACCAGTGGGAGAAGGAGACACACGGCCAGGACCTCTCAGGGTGGCATCCCTACTGAAATAAAGACCTCTCTGCTTCCAAAAGAGTTTGGGGGCAGGGGAGAGGGGAGTCCTTCATTGGGGTATTCTTTCTGCTATGCTGCCATCTGCCGGTGTCTGGGCTGAACTACTCTCCAGCTGCCATTGGAGTAACTTGTCGGTTCTTTTAGCTCGTAGACATGAAGGCTACCTCAGGTCTTTTAAGAGTTACACCTCCATTCGCTATAATGGAGACAAGGGACAGAGAAGATCTTAGAAGATAAAATGGACAATTTTGATTACATAAAATTGAAGAGATTTTGTGCATACAAAATCAATGCAGTTAAAATTAGAAGGGAAACAGTTAACAGAAAAAATATCTTTGCAACAAGTTTCTCTGATAAAGATCGGTTATGCAAGGAATTGCTCTGATCCTATTCTTAGCTACCCTAAGAAAATCTCCCTTTGGTAACTTAACTCAGCAAAACTCAAGGGAAAGGACGGGGCTAATACTTTTTGTTACTCCCAACACCAAATTCCTTTCTCTCCTACAGTTATGTGTCCCCATCTTATCTTCCCTACTAGACTGCCATTTCTTTGATGGCATCTTTGTATTCTTCTCAGTCCCTAGCTTGTGCTCAGAATGAATGTTTGTAGAATGAATGGGGGGGCAGGGAAGCAAAGGTAGGGAGTGAGGGTGCTTGGAGCCCTGAGGGAGTAGGAGAAAGAAGCAAGGGATATAGGTTGCCCTCTGCTCCAGATGGGGATGGCATCTGCTTCATTACAGTCTACAAGTCTAGGACGCCTGGGCTGTCTTGCGCTGGTAGCCAGAGGGATGAAAGTCCACACTTACCGTTCCCTCTGTTTGTCTCACAACTTGACTGTTCGAGGGGTCCAAGGTCTTGCCAACTATCACTATTGAGATGATGGACCGCAGATCAAGGATGCCATGGAAAGGTGAGGATAAGGACCCATGGGTCCAAAATCCAGAAGTCTCTCTGCACTACCCCTCGTCCTACCCCTAATACTCTACAACCTTTAATTCCTCTTAGAGATCTAGACTTTGGCATCATTTTCTACCTTTTAAACTCATCATATGTTCTATTCTCTTCTTTGATTTGCTTCTTTTAATGTCTATTTCTATTGGTGGAACCATCCTCCCACTCAATCAGGTTTGGAATATCCATTATCTTCTGACTTTTCCTTCTCCCTCATTCCCCTACATCCCATAAGACACCTAATCCTGTTGATTCTTCCTTCAAAATGTCTCCCATGATGGTCTCCTCCTTTCTACTTTTTGCTGGTAGTACCTTACTTCAAATTCTCATCCCCTCTCACCTATTGTGTTGTAATGGCTTCATAATTGATTTCCCTCCTGTCTCCTTTCTCCAGTTCCTCGTGTAACATAGCAGTCAGATTAATCTCCCTGAAGCACTATTTTCATGTTGCTACTCAAGAGCCTACAATGGTCCCAGTTTCCTACATCCAGTCCAAAATATCTTTTTTTGATTTTTCAAGTCCCTCTGTAATCTGGTCCCAATTAAAATCCCACCAGTTTTTCCCAATGCCTCTTAATTCTAGTGCTTTTCTTCTGTTAATTACTTCCTATTTATTCTGTATATAGCTTGCTCAGTATAGATTTGTTTGCATGTTATCTCCCCTATTAGATTGTAAGCCCCTTCTGTGCAAGGATTATCTTTTGCCTCTTTTTGTACCCCTAGAGCTTATCATAGTATACGTAGTATACTACTAGTACATAGTATACAGTAGGCTCTTAATAAATGTTGATTGATTGGTCCCAACCATCTTTCCAACCATCTCTCCCATTACTACCCAACATACATCCTGTACCCCAATCCAGCAGGACCATTCTCATTCACCACACATTAGTGTTACTAATTCTAAGCCTTTCTTATAATGCTTTTCCCTCATAACAACTGGCAAATGGCCCTCGGGCAAGTCATTTCGCCTCTATGTCTTCACCTATAGAATAAGGGCCAGGCTAAATAATCTCTCAAGCACCAGCTTGCTTATTGATTAATTGATCAACCGTCTCCTGTACTGAGTACACCATAGGTGTGTTGATGCCTAGTAAATATTTGTTGACTGTTTCAGATTTGTCCCAGATATCATTGGCATCTACTACCCAGAGGACAGATCTATCCTCCAGGACTCAGAACTCCAGGCCTGGGTCCAGGAGATCTTCATGGAGGGCTTTTTTGGGCCAAGAAAGCTCAGGTATAGGTTTCTGCTTCTAGTACCTCAGTTCTCCCATCTCTCCCCAAAATTCCCCAGGAATAGATATCCCTTAGTTCTCAGCTCCGCCTTGCTCTCCCCCTCCGGGTGTCCCCACTTGCCTGGAGACCCTACAGGACCTGGTTCAGTGTCTCGCTATGATTATTTTCAACTGTTCTGCCCAGCATGCTGCAGTCAACAGTGGACAGGTGAGCTGACCCATCAACTTCTTCCTCTCTTTGGGTCCCTGAGAGGGCCTAGTTGGGCCTGACCTGAGGCCTATGAGTTCTTGTGAGCTCAGATCTTGGAAGAGTAGGGGTGTTGACCTAGGGCTGGGTAAGGCCCTGGCCTTCTAAGAATGCAAGGCTAGGAGAGGGGTGGGAGTGGAAGTGGGAGTGGGAAAAGATTAGTGACTTGAAACTGGGGAAGGAGGTTCCCTAGGTCCCCTCAGGGGTTCTGGAAGCCTTATGTCCTGACTTACCTATCTGTGGATTGGGGGGTGGGGCATCAGTTTGACTTTAGTGCCTGGGTATCCAATGTTCCCACTTCCGTGAGGCTGCCCCCACTCGTAACCAACGGCACTACAGACCTTCTGGGATCCCTCGGGGATGTCACCACAGCTTGCCGTGCCCTGATACTCTTCTGGGGTGTCAGTGACCAGGACAGAGATAATGGTGAGCCATGCAATGGGGCTGGGGCTAGGACTTGATCAGTGTGATCTGAGATTCAGGGGCAGGACTGAGAGGCTTGGTCCTGACCTGATTTCAAGATGGGTGAGGCCAGAGTGTGGGAGAGTTGGGAGTTCAAGGCTGGGGGAGGAAGGGAGAAACTCAGATGCCTGGTCCCACCTGCTTCTCCCCTGTCCTCAGAGGCCCCTGAGTACCTACCCAGATGTGCACTTCACGGAGGAGGCCCCTAGGCAAAGCATAGCATCACCTGGTCCAGATCTCCAGGGATATCCAGGAGTGGAACAAGGGTCTTGACATGCCTTACACCTACCTTGATCCTCTCCATATAGAGAACAATGTTGCCATATAACAGAGCCTCTTCTATACTCCCATCCAAGAAAAAACATCAGCTTGTCCAGCATCAGAATAGTGTGATGAGCCAGAAAACCTAGAAATCTTGATCCCTACTTCCAATCTAACCTTGGACCCTTAGCATTCCAGCCTTGGATCTGGGCATTCCAAGCCCTTATCACTTTCTTCTCTCAGTCCTAAGTCCCCAAGACTCCACCTCCTCCACCCTCACAATGCAGGCCTGTACTTGCCTTTGCTCTAGAGCCTCAAGAAAGGCTGGTGATACCAGTAGATGATGTCAAGGCCTAGCCCTGTCCCAGTATGCTTTGTACAACTCAAACCTCCCTCACCCCTAAATAATACAGTTGATACAACTAGAAGGTATTTGAGCTGTTTGTGTGCACGTGTGTGGGCGGGTTTTTTTTAGTTGTTGTTTTTGCTGTTTTAAGAACAGAGTTCAAGGTGCGCTAGGTGGTAGGAAGCAGGAATCCACAGAAGGGTAGTTTCTTCCTCTAAGGGTTAGGTCAATGAAGGTAGGAAGATGGTTTCGTAACTCCTCAAGAGGAATCAGGGCCAAGGACACAGTTGTTTGGGGCCCTCGGTGGGATGCGTGTTCATGTATATACATACATACATACATACGTATGCATTATAGTAAGGGACCAGGAGAAGACATCTAGATGGAAATGCTGTTCTCAATTAAGGCAGGATCTAGATAAGAGTAGCCAATGGGGAGGGCCTTGTTCCGCTCTCGGATGTTGCAGGAAATTTGGGCCAAACGCTCTTTGAAATTCTGGATGCACTTCCATGGTGTTTCCTCTACAAAGTGAATGTCGGGAAAGTGACCCAGAGGCCGCTGTGGGTTGAGAAAAGTAGAAGAAAGTTATGGGGTCCAAAGGTCCAGTCTCCTAACTTTGGTTTGGGCTAGGCCTGGTCAATGCTCTACAAAGCCCCTTAACCCTACACCCTTGTGCAGAAACAGGATGGGAGATAGACCTAGAGAGTGACGCTTAAAGATATAACTATAAATGCATTTTAAAAAAATACTGGACAATCTTCTCCACGGCCTTCATGGAGTCATACAATCAGTTAGTCTGTTATGGGAAAGAAAAAGCAGGAGATAGTAACACAAAGGGAACAATTTTTAAATCTGCCTGGGTTCCAGTTCTGCTTTACACATACAGGTCCCCTTGGTGTCACCTACCCAGCTCCTTCCTTTTACTTTCTCCATTCCTCCCCTCCAAAAGTATTCTCTATAGGAAGCTCCCTCTATCCTTTCTCCCCAACCCCCCTCCCAATTTCTAGCTTCCTTCAACCTGACAGTTCTGGCCACCCTCTTCTTGGGTCCAAAATAACTCCTGAAAGACCCATGAAGCTACACATCACTTTCCCACCCAACGTCCCCCCACTCAGCCTCCATCTTCCTGCTTCCAATACCTTGTCATCAGGTTCCTTACTAAGGGTCCAGAGCACAAGGAGCACGATGCATGAGGTTTTAACATCAGGCAGTGATTCCATAAAACTCTCTTCGGTGGTCAGCCCCTTTTCCTGCATAGGTGGGCATCTCATGGATGATGGGAAATTGGGCATCCAGGCTGTGTACTCTAGCTGGAGGTGAAGGGAAGAGAGGGAGATCTGGTGTCAAAATGAAAGCCTGGTCTCCAGATGACCCAATTGCCTGTCCCAGGGCCAGAGTAACCCCTAGCATCCCAGTCAGGGTCACGGCATTGGGAATAGACAAATTTGGGGGCCCCCTCCCCAATACCTGTCCTGTGTTGACAGCGGCATGCTTGGCTGAGCAAGTGTAGATGACAATGGTAACATAACGAATGAGCTCAGGCACTGTCCTTATGCAGGTGGGGAATCCTGAGGGTTGGAAAGGATATGGAGTCATTTCCATGGGTCTCCACAATCTGATGCCACGTTATATTCTGAACCTGATTTCATACTTCTCCCCTCTGTGCCTTCTATACAGCTCTCCATCTTGACTATTCTCAGTCTCTTATCAGGGTCTAATTCTGGAATACCATCCTCTAAAACCCATTTTAAATGTCTCCTTTTTCAGGAAGACTTCATTGATCTCCTCTATCAGTAACAATCTTCCACCTCAGAACACCTATAGTACTTTGTTCTGAACTTCTCTAATCATTCAGTGTTGGTGTCATTCCACTCCCAGACTGTAGAAATAATAATAGTACTAACAATAATTAATGTAGAGCTTTAAGGTTTGCAAAGTACTTTACACACATTATCTTATTTGAACTTTACAACAACCTTGTAAGATAGGTGTCACGATCCCTATTTTACAGGTGAGGAAACTAAAGCTTAAGAGAGGTAATGGATGTTAGATGGGTCACACAGTGTGTGTCCCAGGCAGGATTCAGAGCCTGATCTTCCTGACTCTGAGACCAGCACATTCTACTCCCTCCAGTAGGAGCTTATCTTATCTGTATCTCCTTGAGGCCTAGAACAACTCTGGATACTTACTGCAGACAAAAAAATAAATAAACATCCGTTGAATTAAAATGCAATTAACCTCTTTGAATATCCATCTAAGGATGTTTACACTTTGGGGATCAGATAAAAGTAGAGGGCTTGGGTTGGGGAGGAGAAAGTTGGGAGTAGATTCTAGTACCTGAGCTCTCCCGACCCAGGAAGCACTCATTAAATATCTCCCGCACCCAGGCTTGTAGTTCAGTATCTCGCTCCACAGCAGCATCATTCCGGTAGTAGTAATTGATGATCTCAGACACATACCTATGGAGCAGGCAGCAACTCAATCCTGGAAGGAAAGTCCCTTCCCTGTCTCCATCTTAGGATCCATCCCTCCCTCCCCCTCTCTCTCTGTCAGTAGCACCTTCGTTTCTCCAGGGCTGCCTCTCTAACTACTCCTAGGACCAATAGTCAAAGAAAGTCAAAATCCCGGACAAGTTTTGAAAAGCGTGCCGTTTTGGATGTTGCCGTCCGCTAGGGGGAGGCGTTGAGCTTTTCCCAGTCCTTAGTGACTTGGCTGCAAGAATTAAACTTCCAAGGAGAGGGGGATTTCCTAGGATGAAAAAATGTGCCTTTATTTTAAAAATTATATTAAAAAGTGCCCCTTTTTGCATCAGTCCCTGACTGTGGTGCCCTAAGAGCCCACATAATTTGCTCTGCAGTAGTGGCTCTGACTAGGCCGCCACAGCAGGGGCATTTGGGTCCAAAGGACCTGGGTTCGGTTCTCTGCTCTGATGTTTACTATCTCTGTGACCTTGAACAAGACATTTAACTTCTCTGGGCCTCAGTTTCCTGCTCTGTAAAATGAGGAGTTTGGACTATCAGCAGACTGAAAGAACTATGGAACCTTTCAAAATCTCCTGAGGCTTTCTGGCTCTGAAAGACCAAGGCTCTTGAGATGAATGTGCATATAGTAGAGATGGACCAAGGAACTTTGTTGGAACAGGTTGGGAGGGCTTTCCAAGAGTCCTGCTGAGCAAAAGGTGCTCACGATGCAAACAGGTGCAAACAGACTGACACCTAGAACAACCAGGAACTGGGAGAAGCCCTCAAAGATCATTTAAATCCAACTCCGCCATTTTACAGATGTGGGATCAGAGGCCCAGAGAGGAGAAGGACCTTGTCCAAAGTCATCCAAGAAGTTAGTAACAGACAAGTGATGAATACACCTGGCTTCTAGTCCAATCTCTTCTTTCTTTCAAGACTGAGTCTCTCTATCTCACCCAGGCTAGAAGTACAAGAGCCCTGGGCAAGCCCAGTCCCAAATACTGACAGGCATCAGAGCTTCAACCTGCTCTGTCTCTGACCTTGGACAGCCTGGTAACTATCCTACCCCACTCCACCTCCTGGAGACTCACCATAATTGTGTTGGACTTGGTGCCCAGCCTCAACCTCCCCAGTAGCAGAAATTATAGGTGTATAATACCATCCCCAGAGTCTGGTGCTCTTTCTTTTCTACCACAGCTCCTCTAGAATAAGGCTCAATGTATGTAAATTTATGTGTGATGATGTAGAATATAATTCAAATGACTTTTCATTTCCATAACATTCTGGCAAAATAAATCAGTCTTCATTTAAAATAAAACCCACATTCAAGTTCCTTTTATGCAACTGTGATCCCCTCATACTCCTGCTGTCTCCAGCACCCCTACTACCCACACTCCCCATCCTCTTCTGCCTCTTCATCCTTTCAGCTCCTTTCCAATTTTGTCCCTGTCCTCTCAGTTCTCCATCCACTCACGTCTCAAGAGCCCCCCACACGGCCAGACAGTCATCTCGGTAATAGTATCGAGGCAGGTCCTGTACTCCACGACGGATGAAGTCATTGGGAAGGTAGAGATCCTCATATTTTGTCTCAGCTAGAGCTCGGCACATCACTTCAGCAAAACCTGCTAGTCCTAGAGACATTGCCTGGTGACAAGGAGCCAGATGTGGGAATCTGACATACACACAACAATCCCTCCCATTATACCCACACACTCCTCCCCAGAGAAACAGACAGAGGGAAATGATGGGGAGAGAACTTCCCCAATATACCCCTTCCCCTATAGGGAAATGGACAACTAACCTCAATTCGGGACTCACTCTTAGTCAAGAACTTGACACCCCTCCCCCGCCCCCACCATGAAACTCATCAGCTCTGTTCTTCTCTAGATCCTGCTCGCAATCTTACCCATTCCTCTGTTTTCTCTACACTTCCAGATTCAGAACCTTCTCCCTGCTGATCAGCCCCAGTCATCCCTTCCACAAAATAGGTGAAAAGTCTTTCCATCAGTCTTCAGCTGATGTCGGCATGGGGTTTGGGGACTCAGAAGCAAAGGAAAGCTATCTGAACCAGGAATGTTTGGGGGACTGAGTAGAAGAAAAGTAGGTGGGAAATTTAGGAAGGTCTGGGCAAGAAATTCCCCCTTACCCTGTCAGACAGGCCACCTTTATTCAGGAGGAGAGCACGACCAATGCTGTTGATCTGGATGGTGTATCGAGTATGGGGGATGATGAGCTGAGGAGAAACAGAGTGGAGTTGATGGGACCAGAGGAAAAACTGGGAGACAAGCCATTCAGAATTACTCATCTCACCTAGGCAGGAATGACTCCATTACAGAGTGTAAGAAAGCCTTACCCAGAAGCCTCTCTCTCTCTCTCTCTCTCTCTCTCTCTCTCTCTCTCTCTCTCTCTCTCTCTCCCTCCCCCCCTTTCTCTCTTTCTCCCTCTCCCCAAAAAATTTATCATCCAATGGCCAGTCTTTCAGTGATGAGACTTTCTAGGCTGGTCTTTGTATGGCAAGCTATTACCTAGTTAATGCTGAAACTGGGCCAATGCTCATTTGCCCTCTGTTGGCATAACCTGTGTGAATCTAGGGACATTTCTATGTCATAATGATTTGTCAGTGGAGTGTGAGTCCCAGAGCTATATATTCTGTCCCAGTGTCTCTCCTAATTCTAGTCACCTTCTCAACTACCTATTGAATATTTCAAACTGGATATCCCATAAACATGTTGACACATCCAACTCATTATATTTATCCCTCAAACCCAACCCTCTTCAGAACTTCCAAGTTTCTCTCCAGGGCAACACCATCCTTCCAGTCTTACAGATTCCTAAGTTTGGCATGATCCTCACACCCAGTGGAAACTATTTCAATTCATCTCTTCTCTCTTCAATTCTTCTATGCCTCCCCAATCCCTCCACCTTCTCTGAAGGTATCAACTGTTACTTTACTGAAAAAATTGAGGTCATTAGTTGTGAGCTCCTTCTCTTCCTCTTAAAACTCCTTCACATCACCATGCATTCTCTCCTTTCCTCCTCTTCTCTAATAATGAGACGGCCCTTTGCCCTGCCAAGATCAAACCTTCCTCTTCATGTATTCTTGATTCTATCCTCTCCAATATCTAGTAGATTGCCCCCTCAATCATTCCCCCCACCTCTTCTCTCTGATCCACAATCTCTATCTTCTGGTTCCATCTCTACTATCTTTAAACATACCCAAATTTCCTCCATCCTTAAAAAAAATCTTCACTAGGCTCTACCATCCCCTCAAACTATTATCCTACATATCTCATTCCTTTCTCAGCTAAACTATTAGAAAGAGCTGCCTATATTCATTGCCCTACTTTCTCTCTTCTCACTTATTCCTCAACCCTTTGCAATCTGGCTTCCATTTTTATCACTCAACTGTAATTGCTCTCTCCATTATTACCAAAGACCCCTTTATTGTTGAATCTAACAGTCTTCTCTCGGTCCTCATGGTTCATGACCTTTCTGCAGCATTTGATAGTATTGATTACTTTCTCCTACTACATACTCTCCCTTCTCTGGGTTTTGGTGACACTACTCTATGCTGGTTCCCCAACTCTACAGTTGAGCTACCTGTCTGATTGCACCTTCTCAGACTCCTTTGCTGTTTCATCATCTATATCATGCTCCCTATCTATGAGTTTTCCCCAGCACTCTGTCCTGGGCCCTCTTTTCTCTCTTAAACTTCTCTTAGTGACCTGATCCACTCTAGTACAGGTTCTCATCATCCGGCACCTAGACTATTGCCACTGCCTTGTGATTGGTCTCTGCTTCAAGTCTCTCCCCATCTTCCACGTAGCTGCTAAGGTACTTTTCCTAAAGTTCAGATCTGACCATGTCACTGCCCCTCCCCCAACACACTCCGATGTTTCCCTATCACCTTCAGGATCAAATATAAAATCAAAATATAAAATATAAATTTTTTAAAATGGCATTTAAATCCTTCAAACCCACCTCCTTCCTACTTTTCCAGTCTCCCCTCCACATACTTTACCATCCAGGGTCACCTGCCTTTTTTGTCTTAGCACAGGACAAATATGTTGTCTCTCTTTAGAATTTGAGCTTCATGAAGGCAGGGACTATGTTTTTGCCTTTCTTTGTAACATAGCAGAGTACCTGGCACATGTTAAGTACTTAATAAACGCTTGATGATTTACTGACTGATCTGCCCAAATGCTCTCTCCCTCCCTACACCATGTTTATTTGTATTCATTCTGCATATACTTAATGCGTATTTGTTCTCTCCCTAGATAGAATGTAAACTCCTTGTGGATAGGAATTATTTAAATCTTGCATTTATATCCACAGTGACTGGCACATAGTAGGCACTTAATAAGTATTTTTTGACTGAGTGACTCATTCTACCTCACCCCACATAACCAATGAGTTGTCATCCAAATGTGGTAATTTCTACCTCCAACCACATCGCCTCTAATCCAACCTGTTCTCATCACTCACACAGTCACTATCCTAGGTCAGTTTTCTCTCTCACCCGGGTTATTGTAATGGTATCCTAACTGGTCTCTCTGGCTCAAGTTTCCTCCCTTCCGTCCTTCACACAAGTGCCAAAATGACTGTCCTTCAGTTCAAGTCTGACCATGTAATTCCCCTACTCAATAATTTACATATGACACGAACAGCTTCTAGTATAAAATATAAAGTCCTTTGGTTGGACCCAACCTATATTTCCAGTCTCAGCTTACATTACTCCATGGCCCAACCAAACTGGCTTTCTTAATGTTCCTCATACATGATAGTCCATCTAATATCTTTGTGCTTTTGCACTAGCCAACCCCCATGCCTGGAATGGACTCCCTACTCTTAGCATTCTTTACTTCTCTCACATTTCAGCTCAGCTCAGGACCTTCTACATGGAACATTCCCAGTGTTCCCAGTCACTAATGCCCTTCCTCTCAAACCACCTTGTACTTATTTTGCATATAATCTGTCCATACATACATATATGCGTTTTGTCTCCTCTGATATAATGTAAGGCCCCTGAGGGCAAGCTCTATTTCATTTTTGTCTTTGTATCTCTAGCACTTGCCTCTATGTCTGGCACATAGAAGGCATTTAATAAATGTTGATTGATTGATTGATTGATTTGTAAGTATTTGCTTGAATGAATGACTAAATGAGCTAGTAAGGTTTCCATGAAGGCTAATTGTTTCCTAAGGAGCAGGAAGAATATTGAAATTTCCTCATTTCCTTACCTTATACAGTGGGTGACACATAGGCAGTTGCCTAATGGTGGCCAGGGAGAAGGCTTCTCCTATCAGATGTGTCTCCAATAGGTGAGAAATGGCTTCGTGGCAGTAGAACTCAGCATAACGCACCCAGGTCTTGGCAAGGAGCCAATCCCATTCAGGGTCAGTGGGCAGGAAAATGGGGCTTTCAGGGCCAGGCGTCTGGCTGAGCTAGGGAGTAGGAATGAGAAAGGGGCATTAGTGATGGCCAGAAAGGTTGAGATGGAGACAGAGACATAGAGAGACAGAGAGACAGACAGACAGAACCGAGACTTCTGCTACATATCCTTCCTATTCCCCACACCTACTCTTCCCTCCCCACAGTTGTGTTTTCTCCCCAACCCATCAAGCACCTGAATAGCAATAGGCATCATATCTCCCTGTGGTCCACAGTGCAACAGGCAGAGTGGGGCACAATGGTATTGCTGCTTTCCATTAAGCTGTACTGTGGGGATGCCCTCCAGGATTCTGTAATCTGCCAGGTAGATGTTTCCCTTCTGATGGGAGAGGGAGGGAAAAAGACGATTAGATTAGATCTATGATGTATGAGTGGAGAGAGGATATCCAAAGAGAATCCAGGGCTCGGGGGTGGACCCCTGGAGACTTGAGGCAAAATACACAGGGTTCTGGAGACAGAAATCTAAATGGATAAGTAGGAAAATTTCTCTACCTTCCACGCTGGTAATTCTTGAATTAGGGAACAGGAGGAGAGATGGGGGAGAGAGATTCTAGGAGGAGGGGAGTGACCAAAACCGAACCAACAGAAGGAAGGGAAGTGAGACAAGAGGGGAGGTAACTTTCTAATGGGCTATGAAGGAATAGGGTGAAGGAGGAGTGATCACCTCCAACTCAGCCTGCAGGCAGGTGCCTTCACCCAGGGACGGGGCCACCATGTCGTCAGTCACAGGGAATTTCTCTGGGAGGCAGAGGCAGCGTTTCAGCAGGCCAGGATTAATGCCATTGAGGTACTGGTAGCCGAAGAATTGGTCCTCCTTCCAGTGATTATACACATACTCTAGGGGAACAGGAGCGTGCTCAGAAGGGATCCAGAGGCAGGAGGAAGCATAGAGACGGGAAAAGAGGGACGTGGGACAAAGAGAAAGAGGATATCCAACAGGAAGAGACACAGAGAGACTTAGAGACGTAATAAAGAGGCTAGGAGAATGAGACAGGAAAAAAAGATATGAGGACAGAGGAATTACAGGTTAATAATAGCAGAAGTAACCCTCTAACCAAGAGCTCTGGGCCCTCTTTTACTGCAGCAGAGTGAGGTATTCCTCCATCTAATTAATGCCCCCAGGACCTGGCTCTATCTGGTTTCTTCCTCTGTCAAACCCCAAGGCTACTGAGATTTACGAAGGCACAGTTCCCTCCCTTCTTACATGTTACCAGTTCTATGTGTCTATCTAGCTTTCTGTATCTTTCTGGCTCTGTGTGTGTGTGTCTCTAGCTCTGCTTTCTCTTTCTTCTTATCTCCCCATTTCAGTCTTTTTATTCTTTCCTCACCAGAGATGGCAGTCTTGGTGGCAGGGAAGATCTTGCGGATTTCCTTCAGCCTTTTCCATGACCTCTTCTCATCCAACAATCCCCGAAGTTTCATGCCCAGGGACCTAGGAAAAGGAATGGAAAAGTGGAAGGAGACATTGGTCCTTCTCTTCCAAAAGGCTTTCACCACCCGAGCATCCAACTCAGCAAATACAATTCCTGCAACTCTCTTTCTCTCTCTCTCTCTGTCTCTCTCTCTCTGTCTCTCCCTCTCTCTCTGTCTCTCCCTCTCTCTTTCCCTCTCCCTCTCCCACTCTCCCTCCCACACCTTTCCATGACCCAGTATCTATAGCTGTCTCTACTTTTTTCTTTCTCCCTGTCTTTGAGTCTCCTTAAAACTGTTTCTGTGTTAGAAAGTCGAGAAGAGAGCCAAGATGACAAAACAGGAGAGTGGACCCAAGGTGATTCCCTCTAGAGGTTCCCATCCTTTCCCCAACCCAGACTTTTCCTCTCCTTGCTCCTCTTTCCCAACTCACGCAGGCCCCAAGCGGAGGAAAAATGAGGCTGTCTTGACAGCAGAAAATCTTAGATTTGAGTTCAGGTACTTGGTAGCTTTGATATTGATGAGAATTGGGAATCCTGGGATGTAGCCATTCCATCTATGGAGAGAAAGGAGAGTCAAGGACTGAAGGGCAAGATGTCTGGGTTTCTAGAGTGGGGGTAGGAGCCAAGGTAAGTTGGGATGGGGCATGGAATTTGGGACCATGTTGGTCACATAGGTCATAGGTAGAGAAAGGACTAGGGGCTGAATGGGGCAGACAACAGGACTCTCAAGAACGGCAGAGCTTGGATAGGGCCATGGGTCCTATGTATATGCTGGTCCTTACTCTGGCCGATTAGGGTTGCGATGCCGAACAGGGGGATGATAACTGGGGATGTGCACGTAGTTTGGAAGTCCAGGAACAAAGACTCTCCAGCTAAAAAGAGATGAGAAATCTGGGGCTAGAATGCCTGAATTTTACCACTATGAGTCAACTTGACCAGAAGGGAGAGACCATGGGACCATGGTGCCTACCTATCCCTCCTCCCCCATGGGTCACTCGTAAGTCTTCATGATATTCTCACCGATAGAAGTCTTGTTTGGCTCTAAGCTCTTCCTGCCGGTGAGTCAGCAGGATAGGGAGGTTTTCATCTAACACTGTCTTTCCTGTAAGGAGATAGAATGGGGTTGGCTGCATAGATCCAGGCATCTGATCACTCCACTGCCAGTACAGGGATCTATCTCCCTTAAACTTCTGCCCCCAACATGGGACCCAAGCACTGCTTCCTTGGGAGAAACTTCCTGACTCTAGGGGACAGAAAATTTTGAAGTGGGATAACAGAATGGGCTGGGGAAGGAGTCTTGCCAACCTGCTGGCCAAATGCATTATCTCAGAAGAGTGATTTTTGTTGTTGTTCAGTCACATCTGACTCTTCATGACCCCACTTTGGGTTTTCTTGACAAAGATACCAAGTAGTTTACCATTTCCTTCTCCAGCTCATCTTACAGATGAGGAAACTAAGGCAAACAAGGTTAAGTGACTTACTCAGGGTCACCCATGGTAAAACACAGTAAGTGTTCAAGGTGAGATCTGAATTAAAGAAAATTAGTTTTCTTGACTCTAGGCCTGGCACTCTATCTACTGTGTCACCTAGCTGCCGGATTGATAGCGTGTCCCATATCAATGCAAACTTCAGGAGAAACAATCCAGTCTATTCTCTGGAAACTCCAAGCTTGGGCTGGGGAAATTATAGACTGGGTGGAAAGGGAGGGTCAAATGGGGTCCCTGTGAAAAAAAAAAAGCTCTGTTATTTAAGGCCTGGAAGGAGAGACCTGAGGCTGGAGGTAGAGGCCTCAAGGGAGAAGTGTTCTGTCTGACCTTTCCCGAATCAGATTAAGCTATCATTCCACCACTCCCTTACTCAAGGCTAACTCCCTGTTCTAGTTTCACTGAAATCCATCATGGCTACTTTAGCCTTTTTCCCTCTAAGGGGATATGGGAATGAATGATAGGTTCTCCTTTCTTTCTTAGGCTATCTAGAAGTTACCCCACCCCCAGCACAGGGGCACATCTCTATTCCTCTTGCAAATCCCCTCCCATCCCTCTCTGTTCCCTCCCTAGGGCAGGAACCAGGTTGGCCAGAGTACTCAACTGATGATGCAAATCTCTTTGCCCTGGTATGACAGGAGCCAGCCCTGCCTAGCCTCATTCTTTCCCTGCCACCCAGCTCCTAGACTCATCCGCCTAGTGCCCTGCTTCCATGATTGACTGCCTCATCTCTAACCCTAATAGCAATCTCTGGAAAAGATGCATCTCCAAAGACACACTTCTCTTTCTCTTCTGTCTTCTCTCTTCTTCATTAGTGTCAGGAAACCCCTTTCCTTCTATCTTCACCAGGTTCCACTCCCACCCTGCTATCTAATTCCCGGAGGAGAAGGGTAAAGATTCTGGTGGGAACCAAAGATGAAACCTAGAAAAAGCTTCTTGACCTTCAGGGACAGGAGATGTGAAGCAAGAGAGCCAAGGGCCTTGCTAGTCTGCTTCCCAAATGAAGCATCTCACGGGAATGATCACGACCCTTCAGGCTCTTCAGGAATTACAACCCAGCCTACCTTCTGAGAGCCCCAGGGTAGTTTGTGGGAAGGCCAAGATGTATCTTGTTCCATCACAGACCCGCAAAGCATCAGTTGCAAGGGGGTACTTAGAGATTGTCTGCTCCAATCCACTCATTTTATAGAAAACCAAGCTCCAGCAGGGAAATGACTTGACCAAGGTCACCCCAAGAATAAGCATGAGAGTCCAGCTCTTCTGAGTTACTCTCCTCTTGCCACCAAAGAAACCTTTCCATAGCCCACTCCCCAACAATTATAGCCTCCTCTCCTCAATGGGCTTTAGATCAGACAAGAGTGACAGACAAGCTGGCAGGAATAATAGGGTTGAGCTGAATACTTGCTTGCTCTGATTAGGCCCTGCTTTCCCAGGTTCTGAGTGGAATAGCACAGCTTGGGCTGAAACAGTCTGATAGAGGACCCTTGCCCCCAGTAACATGATCTGGGATCAGCTGTCCCTGCTTGAGCTTTTCTGAGAAAAGGGCAAGGAACTTTGGGAGCTAGGTTCTGAAGAAGAGAGGAGGGATTATAGAGGACCTAGCAATGAAGAGTTCCCAATAAGGTTACTGGGCAGTCCTGCTGATCAGTCTCTTAGAGGGATATATCAGAATAGCGCTAGATGATTGAAAGACAGCTAGCTTAGCTGACTATCTAGAACCCCAGCATATCCCAGAGTCTGGCATTTTAGACCTAATAAGCCATGCTAAATGCCCCAACTGGCCAATTGCCTGAATAGAAAAATGAGTATTGGCAGAGAACGCCAATAGGACCTTACTCTAGGAACCCAGGATTGCTCCCCCAACTAGAGTTCTCTATATCCTGGACAGTAGCTAGGCAGTCTTAAGAAAGAGGGGCTTGGGGGCAGCTAGGTGGCACAGTGGATAGAGCACCGGACCTAGATTCAGGAGAACCTGAGTTCAAACATGGCCTCAGACACATAACACTAACTAGCTGTGTGACTCTGGGCAAGTTACTTAATGCTATTGCCTAACCAAAAAAAAAAAAACAACAACCAAGGATTATGGAATAGTAATAGGGTGGACTATGGAAGTATAGGGTATTTCCTAGAACTAAATAGATAGTGTATTCTCAAAAAGCAATAGGAGCAAAAGAGAAGTTAAAATTCATCCAGTATAATCCCTCATTTTTACAGAGGCATCCAGGTGGATAGAACACTGGGCTTCTGTAAGGAAGACCTGCCTAGCTGTGTGACCCCAGGCAAATCACTTGACCTTGAGTGCCTCAGTTTCCTTGACTGCAAAATGGGGATAATAGTGCCTACCTCCCAGGGTTGTTGTGAGGATCAAACGAGTCAATGTTTGTAAAGTGCCTAGCACAATGCCCCTAGCACATAGCAGGTGCCTAATAGTCTCTACAACTCTCCCCTCCTCACCTTACAGGAGAATATTGAGGCCCAAAGCAGGGAGGAGACTTGCCCAAGGTCACATTGAAAATTAAGTAATAAGATTCCCTGTAGCCGTGAAAGCATACCCTGTAAGAGTAACAGAGCACTCTATGTGCCCTTCTCGGGAGAGTCACAGAGTGTCACAAAGGAGGGACAGTGAGTTGTCACGTTGGGTGTGGTGTCCCCCACCTGTGCCCTCTCGAAGCTCCAATGTCTCATAGCCATCTATCCATTGGTAGACAGGAAAGTGGTAGGTGATACACGCAGGAGTGTAGATCTGAACATAGTTGCAGTACCAGGAGTTCTTGGGGAAGAAGGTAGAACGCTCCTTGTGCAGACGGATGAGAATGAGCTCCCCCAGGTCCTGATCACACTGGATAGTGTACCTACCAATCTGGAGGGGAGGAGGCAGGGGTATGAGGCCTTCCCTGCCAGCCACAGGACCTTCCATCACCCACCTCTCACAAAATAGCTTCTTTGCCTCTTTCCCCTCCCCCCCTTCAGCACAGACAGGATTGGCTAAGGCTTCAGAAACCATTCAGAGTGCCCAAGAACCAAGAGAGTTGTGTTTAACTCCATCTCACATTCCAAAAAACCAAATCTGTATTTAAACCATTGCTTATGTACCTTCTTAATATGAAGAAAGGAGAGAGGATTGGGAGGAAGAAAAGAGAGGGAGATGGTATAAGAGAAGGAAAGAGAGGCATGGAAGAGAAATTTAAAGGAAGGAGGAAGGCTGAGGAAAGGGAAGGAATCTAGGAAATGCAGAGGTTTAGGAAAAGTGAGAAGGAGGACAAGGTTGAAGAAAGGGAAAAAATCAGGGCAAGGAGAAGACCTGGATAGATGGTTGTGGAGAGGGAAAGGAATAAAGAGATAGGGCTACTATTAGTATGAAATGACTAGTTCAAAGTTAATGTACTCAGCCCTCCCCAATCAGCTTCTAGATCATTCTGTCTCTATTTCTGTTCCCTTCTTCCATTTCCAGCCTAAGCCCCTCTTCATCCTTTACAGTCACTTTTATTTTCTTATACTTTAAGAATATACAATAGACCAAATGACCAAGAATCTATTTTAAAGGTAACAAAATCTTATTATTAAAGTCCTGTCCTCACAATGCTGATTTTCCTGCCTGCCTTCCTTCCTGCCTTTCTTCCTTCCTTCCTTTCTTCTTTCCTTCCTTCCCTCCTCCCCTACTCCCCTCCTCTACAATAGCCTCCCCACTCACTGATCCAGGGGCAAAGTCTCTCCCAAAATGATCCAGCCGTTGCTTGTGGCTCTCTCCCAGAGTTCCCACCACGGTCAGTGAGATGCAATCAAACGTCCCAGACATCAGATCTTTGCCTGTGGCCACCCTGACTTTGTAGGTGACCATAGTGGGGATGGAATCAGTAGCAGGGAACAACAGAGGCAAGGGGTTGGCCACAGTCACTTGGAAATGAAGGATCCAGACTGGGACCAAGAGATAACAGGATTCCTTGGAATAGCGTTGTCCTCAGAGCTGTCAAGAAATCTGTCTCTATAGAGAGGACTTGGTGATTTTTATCAAAGAGGATGTAATCCAATGAGGAGTATGATCTTCTTGGTAGGACTCAGAATCCAAGGAGGGTGTTGGCTGGTGCCTCAAATCTGAACAGACATGAATAACCTCTCTACTCAATGGAAGAGTCCTGGAATCTGGTGGTAGTAGAGCTCTGGGTTCTGGAAGATGTCTTCAGCTCTTCACTGTCCTTGGGAGCTGTGGTTTGGAGGAAGCTATGAGCCTTTCTGTCTGGTAGAGTCAGAGGGCGGGCAGGGATGGGTACCAGGAGCTCCTCCCTACACTGCCATGTCTTCCAGGGTGGGTGGGGAAGCCAGTTGAGCCTGAGTCTTGGGCCTTCAGGGAAACGTGTGTGTCTATTGGTGGGGGGGGAGCAAGGACTGGGTGGGGCACCCCGATTTTTATCAGACTAATAACCTCCTTTCTTAGCCTGCCCTGGGCAATCAAGGGAGAGGGAAGAAGTAGGGAGAGGTGACCTGCATTGGCTCTGAAGTTTGCCTAGGTCGCCTGAAGTATTCCTGGGTTGGAGGGCACCTCAGGAGAGTGGGGCAGGAAAAGGTGACAAAAACTTACTCTCTGGCTTATCCATATAAGTATGGTGGAAAGGAACACTGGAAAAGGAGATGGGAAAAACTGAGCTAAAGGTGAGAGAAGTGAGGTGGAGAAAGCATCCATCTTTACTATACTGGCTATGCCCAGACACCCAGAGGAACCTCAGAAGACGGAAAAGGAGAAAAGGAGAGGATAAGAGGAAGGGATGAGGTACCAGATAGGAATGGAGGTGTGACTAAATTGGGGAGAAGTCTGAAAAAAAGGGAATAAGTTAGGACAGAAACTGAGAATAAAAGGATCAAAGGATTTAGAACTGGAAGGAACATTTGGAATCAGTCCAATCTGCTCATTATAGAGGAGGAAGAAATGAAAACGTTTGCCCCAAATCACACAGGTAGTAAGTAACAGAGTCAGGATCTGAACTTGGTTCCATTGACTCCAAATCTAGTCCTAATCTACCACAGCTGCCTAAATTCCCTGGGTTTTTGCTCTAGTCAAAGGAGGATGGAGAAACTCACTGCTGTACCTTCATTGAGTCCTACTCTTCCAGGTTACCCCCTTCTTCCATCTGTGATTATTAGGCAATGCCTTGGAACTAGGAAATGCCAGAGCCAAATTGCTTTGACAAGAAGGATACTACTGGAGGGAGGGTCATTGCCAGTGCCCAGAGTCTCCCTAGAGTCTGAGTAGTTTCCTCAGTGCCATCTTGTGCTTCTCCCACTTCCCATCCTGCACCAGTACCCGTGTGAGGCTCAGAGAAAGGGTTAGGGTTCTGGTTGGAGTTGGAGTAAGAGTTGGGCTAAGATTAGGATTTGAGGGTAAAGTGAAGGATAGTGGTGAAATTAGGATTAGGACTCAGGAAAGGAATGGGCTTCTGATGAGGTGACTCTTAAGATTAGGGTTTTGTGAAAGTGAAAGACTGGAATGCCATTAGGATCGGTGAGGGTCAGGATTAGAATTGAAAGTATAGGGCTAAACTACAGTTCCAAAGGACTCACAATGAAACATGCTCTCCACCTCCATATATAGATCTGATGGACTCAGAGTACAGATTGCAGCATATTTTTTTCCTTTCTTTCCTTTCCTTTCTTTTCTTTCATTTTTCTTTTTCTTTTTTTTTCCGGCACATGGCTAACTATACACATTTGCAATGGGTTTTGTTTTTCTTGCTTTCTTAATGGGTTGGGAAGAAGGAAGGAGGGAGAGGATCCAGTACTGAAAATAAAATAAAATTGAAAAAAAAAGTATACCGTTAGAGCGAAGGTCAGCAATAGATATGATGGATACTAGGTAAAACTAGTTTTGAGATTAAGAAACTTTTAAGAATAGGGTAGTGATTTGAGACGAGGATAAGAGGTAGGAAGAGGTTAATATTAGGGCTCTGCTTCAGGATCAGGATTAGGACAAATCGAGGATTTGGGTCAAGATTAGGAACAGAGCTTAGAGCGATAGTAAAGGAGCCTTCTCATATTCTCATAGGCATACATATTTGCCTATGTGCTTGGGGCTGGTCCTGGAGTGTGAGGGAGAAGGGAGAAGAGGGACAAGAGAGGGAGGGAACTGAGTCACATCAGTCACGCTTTCTGGGGAATCTCCAGAAAGCCTTGAAGCACTATCACCATAGTTCCTTTTTCAAGATGCAAATTCTATGTAAAGTATTTGTGGTACCCATGCCAGGTCTTTCCCCTGCTTTTGAAGCTTCTTCTGAATACCATATCTGCCACAGCCCTGGTACCAACACAGAATCCCTTGTGAGGGTCATAGTCAAGGAGGGTGTGTTTCCTATGTTTAGAATGCGTTAGAGATGCTGATATTGTCAGGTCAAATCACATAGCTCACTTCCCTTTCCCCCAAAATTTTTGTAAATGTGAAATTCAGTTACAGTAAGCTGAGGAAGGCAGTGTTGTAGAGTGGTAAGAGAAATATTTTGTAATTCTAGGATGTGGGTTCAAATCTCAGCTCTTCTACTTCCTATGTTGATAAAACCATTTTAGGCTATTTTTTTTTTTGGCCAGGCAATGGGGTTAAGTGACTTGCCCAAGGTCACACAGCTAGTAAGTGTTATGTGTCTGAGGCTGGATTTGAACTCAGGTACTCCTGAATCCAGGGCCAGTGCTCTATCCACTGAGCTACCTAGCTGCCCCCATTTTAGGCTATTTTCTCATCTGTAGAGTGAAGCTCTGAGATCTGTTCTAACTCCAAATTTATGATTCTATTATTGCAGTGCTAGGCACAACGTAGCTCCTTCATAAATCCATGTTTGCTGATTGCTTGAAGGCATCCTGGAAGGGAAAAAAGGATGCCACAAAATGACATCCTGGGATATGCTGGGAAAATGCTGCTCTTCTTCTTTCATGGGGGAGGGGACATTTAGAGACATCTCCAACTCTCTCAACCCTTCTGAGATCTCCTCAAAATAAAGACCCAGAACAGAACCCCACAAGGATAGATAAAGCCCTGGTTGACCATGTCAATTCAACATAAGCTAGGAACGTTTCTATGTACAGTTCATACTTAGATCAGGAATGAGATAAGTGTTAGGGAGAAAGAAAATGTACAGGAAGGGAACAGGTTTCAAGTCAATCAATAAACTTACTATGTTTGAGGCACTGTGCTGCATGCTGGGAATATAGGGCAAAAGACACATGGTCTCTGCCCTCAAGGAACTTCTGTTCTAAAGGGGGAGACAACATGCAACTGACCATATACAGAGAGGACGGCTAGGAGTTCCAATATGACCTTAGACACTTACTAGCTATGTGACTCTGGGCAAATCACTTAACCCTGTTTCCCTTGGTTTCCTCACCTGTAAAATGAGTTGGAGAAGGAAATAGCAAACCACTCCAGCATCTTTGCCAAGGAAACTCCAAATTGGATTATGAAGAGTTGGACATGACTGAAACAACTGAACAACAACAACACATACAGACAAGATATACAGTGACCAGATGGGATGGTAATATCAGAGGGAAGATACCAACCCTGGGGTGAAGGGGGGGCAGGGGAAGAGGGGAAAAAGTCTGTTACTAAAGGTAGGATTTGAGCTGAGTCTTGAAGGGAAGTCAGAATAGACAGATGTGAGGAGGAAAGGTATTCCAAGCATGGAATACAGACAATGCAAAGGCGCAGAAACAGTAGTTGGGGTGCCCTGCGCTAAGAACAGGAAAGCAGGTGATTCTGGATGATAAAGAATGTGGATGGGAATAAAGTGTAAGCAGACTGGAAAAGTAGGAAGGAGCCAGGTTGTAAAGTACTTTAAATGCCAGATAGAGAGAGGACTTTATATTTGCTCCTGAAAGATACTGGAGTATAAGTATATATAAGGATATAAATATAATATAAGTATACTATATATATAAATATATACTTATATATGTGTAATATATTATATATAATACTTATAAATATATAAGTATAATAAGGAGATACTGGAGCTTATTGTAGATATTTACATGCTGATATTGTCAAGGCAAATCACATAGCTCATTTCTCTATCCCTCAGATTTTCTGTATATGTGAAACGTGGAGAGGTGTGTGTGTGTGTGTGTGTGTGTGTGTGTGTGTGTGTGTGTGTGTGTGGTGATATGATCAGATCTGCATGTTAGGAAAAGCATTTTGAATGAAGAATGAACAGGAATGGATAGAGATATGAGGCAGAGAGACCAGTCAAAAGACAATTGCAATGATCTAGGTGAGAAGTGATGTAAGCTTGTGCTAGAATGGTATCTGAGTGGAGAGAAGATCAAGGTATGAGATGTGAAGGTAGAAAGAGAAAACTTTGGCAACAGATGCATATGTGAGGTGAGTCTGAGTGAAGAGTTGAGAATGACACCAAATTTGTGAGGCTAGGTTACTGGAAAGGTGGTTGGTGCCCTCAAAAGGAGTAGGGAATGTCAGAAGAGGAGGGGTTGGGGGTAAAAATAAAGAGTTCTGTTTGGGGCATATTGAGTTTATGATATCTGGGGAATACCCAGTTCAAGATATACAAAAGACTGGTATGATATAAGACTGGAGTTCAGGAGAGAAGTTAGGGCTGGATATAGATCTGGGAAGCATCTGCAAAGAGATCATAATTGAACCCTTGGGAGTTGATGAGATCCCTAAATAAGGTAGTATAGTAGGAAAAGAAAAGAGGGTCCAGGACAGACTATTGGGCTATAGCTATGGCTAGTGGGTGTAACGTAGATCAGAAACTAGCAAAGGAGACTGAGAAGGACCAGTCTGACAGGTAGGAGAACCAAGAGAGGACAATGTCACCAAAACCTAGAGAGGAGAGAGTAACC